CTGGAAAGAGGGCCCGGGGAAGGCCCAGGACACGCTGGAGGGACTATGTCTCTCGGCTGGCCTGGGAATGCCTCAGCATTCCCCCGAAGGAGCTGGAGGAAGTGTCTGGAGAGAGGGAAGTCTGGGCATCTTTGCTTAGACTGCTGCCCCCGTGACCCGGTCCCGGATAAGCGGAGGAAAATGGATGGATGGATGTTTTTTGCTTTGGAACTGTAATGATTGTTTTTAGATCTCCAGTTTATAAAGACAGCTTATTTAATGCACCACAGGCACTACACATTTATGCCACCTTTTGACAACCATCTCAAATTTAGCAGAAACTCTCAGAGAAACAAACACTGTTTTCCAGGGAAAAGGTTTAATCCTTGCCATAATGAATTTGGTGAGTCCATGCGTCACCAGATGGCATTTTTTGGACTCCACTGTTCTAATCACAGCTGAGAGGCTACCAAAAACAAAATATCTGAATATACAGTGCTGGCTGAAGGCTGGGTGATTTGTTTATCACAGTCACAATGCATCATTAGTAGCTCAAATAACAAAAATGGGAACTTCACTCAGTTTGGGAGCCAAATACAGAAGTACTGCTTTGGTCTAAGAGAGAACAATTGATATTTGTTAATTAAAAAAAATGCACTGCCAGAGTTAGTTATTGAGAGAGAGAAGAGTCAGGGGTAATATTTGGACATTAGAAAATGAGTCATCTTAAAATGCAACCACAAAGCTGAAAACATTTTGGAAGCCAACACTGACAAGTTAACATTTTTTGGAACACTATGGGTCATCACTACTCGACAGTAACGGGGCTGCCAGAGACAAAAGCAGTACCATGTATGGACTCCTAACTGAGTGGGGTTTCACTGTACTGTGGCATGGCGTATGTGGTAGATGCTTCAAGAAGCAGGTATACACAGCTGGTCAGACGGCACAATTTGTTCCTCAACAACAACTGATTGTATCATTTGTATTTGATGGAAACTGGACATTCATTACAATCTGATACACAAAATGTGCTGTTCCAATTTCAGAATTTTAGAAAGCTGCATGAAATGGTCAGATTACACAATTTGTGTCTGTAAAACATCCCAGACCACAAACATTTATTTTGAGACCTGAATATCTACCTACAGAAACTACACCATCAGTCCAGCAGTGACCCTGTGACTTGACATCCCCCACTAGCACAGACAACTCAAACCAACAGACTCTACTGAAGATTTGCCATATTATTGAACATCAATGCCAGTATTCACTTTAGAACCTGCTTGCTGTGGCTAACTTCATGCATTACAACCGTGAATTGCAAAACTGTGATGAATAGTGTGTGACAAAAATCAAGTCAAACAAGTAGTGTTGCATTTAGGAAATAAATCCACTTCTGCACAGCACTGAGGCTGTCATTCTGTGTGGGAGGCCTGGAATTTCTGATTCCTAAGTTGACCTATGATAATTTTAGGCATTTTCTATCCCATAACTGGAAAGCTGAGCACCCATAAAAATAAGAAAAAAAAAGATGAACTCTAAAAACACATTTCCAATCACAGTGCAATAAATTATGAGAGGATTAATCCAAACTATTACACCATCTATTCAAACTGTGTCTGTTTCACATTGAGCTGAGATCAGTTACACAACCACTAGGAAAACTAACTAACTCTGCGCTAGAACTGTTTTCCAGCAGGTGGTTCCATGACATTGAGCTGCATATGAGGACTTTAGAAAACCAAAACATGGGAAGGTATGAATGTAGAACAAAAAGGACCTGTGTCTCAAAACAAAATCAATTCCTTTGACTACATATGAATCAATGACAGTGTCCAAAAGATCCTATTAACATTTCTGAACTGAACTTCAGTCTCAGCGCTGTCCATGTCCTGGTCAGTCTATAACATAGATGTGATCAGTATCTTGAATGGATGGCTGATAAATAGCTTCAGCATAAAATATTTACAAGTTCATAACATTTTAAAGTGACACTGAATGTATTTTTTGCATGACAGGCCTAAGCATTATGGTGGCCCTGCTGTGGGCACAGACTAACCACCTGTGTCACCAGTAGGTCACTGGCTCCAGTGTTCAGTGAAAACTCATCAGCAACTGTAAGTGGCTCTGTGACCTAAGCAGTAAACATAATTCCCCACTTTTGTATAAAAACAGGGAAAGTCATGTAGTATTTTAAAGCAGCATGTTTGTAATATATTCAAATTTTTCCCAATCTCAATATCCTCCAGAGCAAAAATGACAACATGCGGAATCCATTTTAAATGACTACAAAAAGTCTTAGTCTGTTTATATTCTATATTTTTCTACTGTCAACAAATTCCACACAAAGTCCAAAACCAACAATTGAAGCATCCCACTAACACACAGTATGTGCAGCCACAGCCTGATGTGTTACTACTCTGTGCCATAGAGCTGTATTGTTGACAGCTCAGCTACAGCTGATAGCGGTTCCCAACAAGGCATTATTTCCTCCTGCGTGAATAATGTTTGTTAAAACCTACAGTGCCCAACTTCTGTATGAAATTACTGAGCCTTCAAAAATGTTCAGTAAATGTTTATGTTTTTAAAATTAACATTTTTATGATGAATTAATACATTTGGGATTAAGCACTACAGACAGGCTGGGGAAGTTAGAAAGCGCTGACAAACAGATAAACATCTTGTTGGTTCTGGTTCTTTTAAGGGACTTGTTGACAAAAAAAAATAAAATAAAGATTAAAAAAAAGGAAGAAATATCACCAGCATTGGCCTTTAGACTCCTACAAGTTCCAACTTTTCCCTCTTTGAGGTTAGACTGTCTGCATACTATCAAATGCAATATATGACTCCGCTAAGATCTCAGTATGCTTCAAATGAATGGGGGTGAATGGTGTCAACCCATGTTTCCAATGGCAGAGTCTAGGGAGCAATTTTTGTAACCTCCCAAAACATGCATTTTGTTAAATACACGTCGATTGGCCAGGTGTATGAGCATGTGAGGGTGTGGAGGGCTGGACCTGAAGCCCAGCTGAAGGCGCGCCTTCAGGCGTTTACATTTGGAACAGGTGTAAACACTTTTGCACTTGATTTAATAAAACAACCTTGTTCATCTGAAGTATACTGAGGCCTTCAGTTTTCAGCACTGGAGCCAACAATAAACCAGGCAGGACTGAATCATTCTGGTGCCTAGGTTTTTTTCCACTGAGGGGTTTATGCTGACTAACAGGTTAACAGGCTTTAAATTCCTTTAACTACACTGTGAGCATCTAAACTGAAATCTATAAACATCCAAGGTAACAAATGGCTACAGTAGCCAGTCCTGTAAAGTACAGCAGTCCCATTCAATGACAGTAAGTTTGGGAGAAAATGTTGTGCTCCTCTCCTGCTACTAATCTCCTCTGGTGGCAATAAAAGCCTAAACATACAGATGCCTTCAGAAGGAAACTGATATTTTGCTAATGATTAATGCTACACATATAAGGGCCAGAGATGTAACAGCCACAAGTGAGATGTACGCTTCCAAGACTTGGGCCAAGTAAAGACAGAATGAACGAGCACAGACTTACCTCTGACAGTCAGGATGCAATGTGATATCCAAATTAAAGAAAGTTTTGTGGTTCGTTAGCTGCTTTTCATGCATTTAAGGTGGCTGTCACTAGCCTGAATTTGGGGACTGGCATTTTAAGACAAGGGAAGGTAGCAGAGGCTGTCACAGTTGGAAACACTGAAAAAGTCCTCTTCTAGTGGCCTCTGAACTTTTTAAATCTCAGATAGATAAAAATATCTCCCCACAACAGCAAAAATCAATCAAACTAAGTTTCATCCATTCTAATGTCCCAGACTGAGAAGACTGAAAACCTGAAGACATTACAGGTCATCCTCTCCTAACTTGGCAGATTTCTGTTCACAGTGCACTTTATGGTGACCATGGTCAATCAGCGAAGACAGTCAGGGCATCTGAAAGTTACTGACCTTGGCGTTGGGCTGGGTATGAGTCAAAAGTTCAAAAGTTCATACCTCTTTTGGCTCAGCCCCCCCGTTTCTCTAATCCTCACGTGAATTAACAGTCTTTTGGAGGCATAAGAGTCAGTGAAAAGATGTGTCCATTGCAATTTGATAAAAAGTGTGTGTGTTGGGGGG